TGACGGGTAAACGTAGCCAGGTGGCGACCTGTGCTAGCCTCTGTGCAGTGTGTCACCCGCTGACGAGCAGGAGTGAACTGGTGGACACCCACATCCTGTAGGTCAGCACCACTCACCAGGTTCGTAGAGAACGAGGGGAGGTAAAGACCAGTCAGGGTGCCAGAGGGAGCCGCCGGACACGAGAGGACTGTGGAGAAACGAGACAGGACAGGACCCCTAGAGGGGTCAGCTAGGGACACCGCAACAGGCCGACTAAGCGGCGTGAGAGTGGTGCGGTCCCGAAAGAAGGAGCGAGACGCCCCAGAGTCAAGGGTGAAGGTGTGGGAGGCAGAAGCCGACACAGTACATGAGAGGGCAGACTCACTAGCACCTGAGAGCACAGACGCACTGGCACCTAGAGCAGCAGCCTCACTGGCACCTGACACAGCAGTACCAATGCCCGGGTCGGGCGGAAAGCACCGGTAACAGTCACCATCATCACTAACCGTCACAGCATACATGGCAGCAAGGATAGCATCAAAGTCAAGATCAAACACAGCTACACCAGCCCTAGACAGCTCTCCCCAGCGGGGGATCTCAGAGGCCTCCGGAAACTGCTGGCGCCAAGCGTCGGTCAGGCGGGCAAAGCAGCGGCGAGCGATGTGGGTGCCCCCACACTGCTCACCCGCGCGGTCGCCGGTGCGAAGGACGTAGGTGCAGGGACCGAACGCCCCACCACGCTGACGCTGCGAGTACCACTCACGGAGCTGCTGGTGGGCGGGGACGTCGCGAGAGCGCTACTGCTGCTGCTGCTGCTGCTGGCGCTGACCACCCCCAGTGCCGCTCCTCTGGGACGAGCCACTCCGACCACCTCCACCACCGCCGCCACTGCCGCCACCGCCACCCTCGCCCCCGCCGCTCCCACTGCCTCCTCCACCACCACCTCCGCCGCCACCTCCGCCTCCACCGCCGCCACCAGTACCTCCACCCCCGCCTCCACCCCCGCCTCCACCCCCACCGCCACCCCCACTCCCCCCGCCGCCCCCACCTCCTCCGCCACCGCCCCCGCTAGCTCCACCCGCTCCCTTGCCCCCCTTGCTCCTGCCAGAGCGGCGCCTACCGCTGGGGGCAGACGCCGCACCGACCGACTCTAAACCAACGAGGTCGGCCGCAGCAGCAGAGGCGACAGAGGGTAGCAGGGGGGAAGGAGAACACCCCTCAAAGATGGGGGTGCGCGGGTCACCACGAGAGGCCCCTACAGCGACTATGCTCTTCTCGGCCGCTAGCAGGGACTTCTCAAGGAGGTCGACAGTGAGGGTGGTGGGACAGACAGAGAGAAACTGGTCCCGAACAGCACGAAGGGACTCAGGGAGACGGGTGACTAGAAAATAGAGAGTGATGTACATGGGAGGGGGGTTTTCGGCGAGGAAGGCAGCAGGAAGCGCAGCTCGGTAGCGAGTGTCACTAGCGCGAAGGTGGGTAAAGAGGTCAGTGACTGTGGGAAAGGCAGCAAGGTCAGGGAAGAGGTACGGTAGCATGAGGCGGCTCAGTGTAGCAGTGGAAGGGGAGGAGTAGCGCGCAACTACAGCATCGTACAAGGCCTGAGCGGTCTTGCACTGACTAAAGTGTGCACGCTCGGAGGAAGGGAGGTGGCGACGCACAGCAAGGCGTGCAGCAGCATCGCGTGTGGCCCACTTGGAGCGAACAGCGGGGTCAGCATCAGCAGGAGGGGCAGGGACAGCGCCAGAGACAAAGTCAAAGAGAGAAACCTCATCGGTCGCATCGCACAGTAAGTACAGCTGCAGGTCCTCAATCCAGACTGCAAAGTCAATGGCGCGACCCTCAGCGTCAAAAGTCAGGACACTGGGGGTGGCTATTGTAGCAGCTGACATTCTCACCGGGCAGGACGAGTCGGGTAGCACAGCGACACAGCAACACGGCAGCACAGCAGTTGCGCCGGCCCAGGAGCAGTAGGAGCCCCACATGAGCAGAAGATCGGCTCCTCGGGCGGCTCGGGCGGCACGGGCGACTCGGGCGGCTCGGGCGGCTCGGGCTGCTCGGGCGGCGCGGGCGTCTCGCGGGCGGCTCGGGCGGCTCGGGTGTCTCGCGGGCGGCTCGAGCGGCTCGGGCGGCGCGGGCGTCTCGCGGGCGGCCGCACGGGCGGCTGAGACGGCTTGCGGGCGGCTGCACGGGCGGTTGGGGCGGCTCACGGGCGATGCACGGGCGGCTGCACGGGCGGCTGGGGCGGCTCGTAGGCTGCGCACGGGCGGCTGCACTGGCGGCCGCACGGGTAGGTGCACGGGCGGGTGCACGGGCGGCCGCACGGGTAGGTGTACGGGCAGGTGCACGGGCGGGTACACGGGCGGGTGCACGGGCGGGCACACGGGCGGCTGCACGGGCTGCTCGTCGGGCGGCGCTAGGGCGGGCGCACGGGCGGGCACACGGGCGGGGGCACGGGCTGCCGTCGGGCGGCGCTAGGGCGGCGCGTGGGCGGCGCGTTGGGCAGCGCGACGGGCGGGTGCACGGGCGGGTGCACGGGCGGGCACACGGGCGGCTGCACGGGCTGCTCGTCGGGCGGCGCTAGGGCGGCGCGTGGGCGGCGCGTTGGGCAGCGCGACAGGCGGCGTTAGGGCGGGCAGCGGGCAGCGCGACGGGCGGCGCTAGGGCGGCTGCACGGGCAGCGCAACGGGCTGCGCTAGGGCGGTGCGTTGGGCGGCGCTAGGGCGGCGCGTCGGGCAGCGCGTCGGGCGGCGCTAGGCTGGCGCGTCGAGCGGCGCTAGGGCGGCGCTAGGGCAGCGCGTTGGGCAGCGCTGTGGGCGGCGCGTCGGGCGGCTAGCGCTAGAGCAGGCAGCGGACGGGCGCTAGGGCGCTAGGGGCGGCGCTCACGTTCGAGGGCGGGCGGTGCGCTAGCGGCTAGGGCAGAAAAAAAAAGACGTTTGGAGGTGGTGGGCCCTAAGCACATGTCCCACAGGGGAACCTGCTCGATACCATGAGAAGAAGTGAACGAGAATGAATGAACTATGAATGAAGTGAGTACAAATAGGAAACCCTAGTTGGGTTGTACCCCCTATGGGATACCCCACTATAGCCTACACAAATAAGTAAGCTATGATATTCTGACATAGATGTCCATAAACCCACACAGGGTTGATTGTTTATGGATCACAGTGCATGTTCTAGACCGCTAAGGTTGGAATGCACGATGACAAGGCAAGGAATCTTGCCATGTAACGCTAGATCACCCTAAATGTGCCATTTCGACCAATGAGAAGCCACACCCGGATTGATTAGCGAAATAGGCACATCCGTGGTCCTATCCATGATAAAAACAAATGCTGTATCACCCACAACAGCTAAGCATTCAAACACACTTAATAAAAATATGTCCATATGATGAGACCCGGGTACTATACATTTCTAAGCCTTTGATAAGACCCCCCCCCCCCCCCCCCCCCCCCCCCCTTTTTCTCTGAATTTTTCATAAGACCCTAGGGTCTTATATCCGGGAGAATACGGTATGTGTGCACATTTTTCCTCTCTATTATGTGTGCACATTTTTCAGAATGATGCTACGGTATGCTAGTAGTACCCTGATTGCTCAGGGTTGAGAAGTATATAACTCTGATTGTTCATGGTCGAGAGATCGAAGATCAGAGTAGTAACGCGCCCTTCGTTACAGAGGAAAAAATCTCGCTCTGCGTATAGTCTTCTGCGCTCTTTGTTAGTGACTGGTTGCGCGTCCAGTCATGATGTGCTGGCACGCCTGAAATGTGGCGTGTCATGCATGGCCCTTGTGTGCTGTCAGAGAATCGCTTGCGCGCGATTCTTCTTTTTGACGCAAACGCATTTCGACTCAGTTGAAATGGCAAGGATGAAATGTACATTTTGAAATATTATCTGTATTTGGCATTTTATAAGCACATGCGCTGCCCGATCCTCAATTAGAAGCGCACCCCCTATAAAACCCCCGTTATTTATAAGCGCACCTGCGCTTATATCCGGGGTGTTACGGTATGTACACAGTGGGCACACAGGTACTTGAAAAGGCCGTCGTTAGCACCCTCCACACCAGCACCCACCCACCGTGCCTTTCCTGAGCAGCCTGAGAGAGTTCCCCACCACCGCCAGGCTCGTGCCCACATCAGCCAGCACAGCGAGCCACAGGTGCGCCCTGCCAGCCACTGCCAGCCCCAGCACCACGCCCTTCACCACCACCGACGCCACCACGTTCTCTGCCACCACCCACCGCACTGCCCGGCCTAGCAAAAACGTCCGCGCCAGCTGGCGCAGGTCGTCTGACATCAGCGCCACGTCAGCGGCCTCCATGGCTGACGCAGACGCAATGGTGCCCATGGCGATGCTGACATCAGCGGCTGCGAGGGCGGGTGCGTCGTTGATGCCGTCTCCCACCATGCAGGTGATACCGTGGGCCGCCTTGAGTGCCGCTATGGCCGCCACCTTGCCCTCCGGTAGCAGCTCACACAGCACCTCCACTGCTGGGTGCAGCTGACCAGTGGGGCGGGCAGGCGCACGGGAGAGGGGTTTGGAGAGGAAGAGAGGGAAAGAGGGAGAGAGGGCGAGATGAAGTGGACGAGAGGGAGAGAGGGAGGGGGGGACGGAAGAAGAGCAGCAAGGGGAGGGGAGGACGGAAGGGAGGGAGGTTGGAGAAAGAGTAAGAAATGGGAACACAAATATTGGAGGAAGGCTCATATGTCGTTGCTCCATGTGAGCAACATGTGGAGAATCGCTTCTCAAGGACTCCATACTCAGCTGTCGGCTTTCCTTCTTCCAGTCAGCGCGTCCCAACGATACATCTTCAGCTACATGTACAACCCCAACCCAGCTATACCCAATACACCTCCTCCCCTTTCATTCCCCTCTCTTCCTCCTCCCCCACCCCCCCCGAACCGCCTCTCAACTTCTCCTCCTTCAGCCCAAAGGCTAAAACCAAACACCGCCCTCCCCTCTTCCCTCTTTCCCCCCTGTTCTCCCCTCAAACCCAACACCCCCCTCGTTCGCACCTGCTGCTGCACGGCAGTGGCAGCGCCCGCATTGTCGCCCGTCAGCATGGCCACGTGCAGCCCCACTCCCCTCACCAGCTGCCCAACCGCCTCCGCAGCTTCGGCCCGAAGCGAGTCAGCTGCGGCAATCACTGCCTTGGGGTGGCCGTCCACGCCAAGCCACACCACGGTGGCTCCGAGGCTGAGCCAGTGGGAGAGCAGCGCGGGGGGCATGGCTGGTGGGATGCGGGGGGGTGGGAGAGGACGAACAGAGGTGAACCCGTTGGGATGGCCGTCCACAGGGAGGCAGGTGAGCGTAGCTTTGAGATTGAGGCAGGGCAAGGAGAAAACGAGGGGGTGATGGTTGGGTGGGGTGGGTGGGGCAGGCTGGTTTGGTGGAGGGGAGGGGAGAGAGGGAGGGAGCTGTGGCATTGGGGCATGAGTGGGGAGGGCTGTGGCACACACCGGGGAGGAGAGCTGCCATGTGTGAAGGGATACAGGGGAGTGGAGTGGGGTAACATGTAAGTGAGAGAGCAGGCAGTGGCCATGCGATGGCAGAGGCGGCAAACCCAATGATGCCAATGGAGGCACGTGCAGACATGTGATCAAGGTGAACCAATGCATGGGCTCTGCATGTTTGGGTGCAAACGTTCAAGAGGGAGGGCAAATGGGCGGTTGAGGATGGAGGGTCTCACCATGTGTCCACCCCAGGCGCAGGGCCATCCTCTCGTTGCCCACGTGCACGCGCCTGCCCCCCACCACCGCCTCCACGCCCTCGCCCGCTACCGTCTCAAACCCACTCGCCCCCCCTCCCTCCCTGCCACCCTCTGTCCCTCCTGCTGCCCGTCCAACCCCCCCTTCAGTCGCATCCTCGTTACAGATTGCCTCGGTTTCTGCAGCAGTGCCTTGCTGTCTGTCTTGGCAGCGAGACGCCTTACAGCACCCTTGGCTGGCTGCAACCATGCCATGTGACCTACTGCCTCCACAAGACCCTCCATTGTCTTCACATGCCCCACCCAGCATGGCACATGCGCCATCTGGCATGCCACATGTGTCAGCAGCCGCATTGCATGTGACGTGTGGCTTGCTGCATCCACCAGTAGCAGTAGCACGTGTGCTACAACCGTTCCTACCCATCTTGCTGCTGCTTCCACAACCCAACTCGCCCCAGCTGCTGCCTGCACCAGCACGGGAGCACGTGGAATGGGTGTGTGCGCAGCCTGCTGCTGTTACAGGGGTGCATGCAGCAGCAGCCGGCAGCGGCCCGTTGGACTCAACGCCGTGGTAGCGGCAGTAGGCCAGCAGGGCGGCCGCCATGGGATGGCTGGACTGCCTCTCTGCGCCTGCCAGCCTGCACCCATGGCGAGACACACACGGTGCATGGCAGGGAGACAGTGAGACCACAAGCAGGCTCATGAACGAGGAAAGAGAGACGGCAAAGGGGAGGCTATACGAGGGGCAGGGCATCGAGTGGGATGATAGCAGCTGGAGACGCAACTAGGACGAACCCCAGCACTCGTTCAACTAGGACGAACCCCAGCACTCGTTCAACTAGGACGAACCCCAGCACTCGTTCAACTAGGACGAACCCCAGCACTCGTTCAACTAGGACGAACCCCAGCACTCGTTCAACTAGGACAAACCCCAGCACTCGTTCAACTAGGACGAACCCCAGCACTCGTTCAACTAGGACGAACCCCAGCACTCGTTCAACTAGGACGAACCCCAGCACTCGTTCAACTAGGACGAACCCCAGCACTCGTTCAACTAGGACGAACCCCAGCACTCGTTCAAGAGAAACAGTGATTCTTATCCGCAGCGAGTCGCTCACCACTCGAGGCACTCATGCTTGCTGCAGGCAGCGCCGTCCACGAGCTCAAACCCCACCACTTGGAAGCGGCCATGTGTGAGCGTGCCCGTCTTGTCCACGCCCACCGCCCGCACGCGCCCCAGCATCTCCAGGTGCGCGCCGCCCTTCACCAGCACCCCGTCCTTTGCAGCGCGCGCGATGCCGCACACCGCGGCAACGGGCGTGGAGAGCACGAGGGCGCACGGGCAGGCGACGACGAGCAGCAGCAGCGCGAGGCGGAAGAAGTAGAGGTGGTCGGCGGAGGGCACGGCGAGTGGCACGAGGGCGAGCAGCAGCGCGGCGAGCACGACGGTGGGCGTGTAGACGCGTGCGAACGACTCCACGAGGCGCTGCGACGGCGAGCGGTTGGCCTGCGCTGCGTGGATGAGCGCCACCATGCGCGCCACTGCTGAGTCGCTCGCCAGCGCCGTGGCCCTCATGGTGAAGTAGCCTGGCTGGGGCGAGGGGCAAGTAGAGGAAGGCATGCATGGTGCGCGCATGTTTGCTCGGACAGGTCAGACGCGCAGCTGGCAGCAAGCGCCATGGCCAGCATGGTCTGCAAGCGCCATGAACACGATTGGAAGGAAGGGTGATGGATGCGGACGAGGTGGGGACAAGGGAGGCGGTTCAACGTGGCTGGTTGGTGGTGTGAGGGAGCGGAGAGGAGCAGCACGGGCCTGTGGTATTGATGGTGCCGGCCCACACAGGCGCGCCCACGTCCTTGAACACTGGCAGCGACTCGCCTGTCAGACTGCTCTCATCCACGCTGCTCGCACCGCTCTGCACCACTCCATCCACCGGCACGAGAGCGCCTGGGCGCACTGCGAGCAGCGTGGCCACGGGCACGTCCTCCACCGCCACCTGCGAGCGGCAACGTGCGGGGCATGGGGGTGGGAGTTGAGGTGCGTTGGGGCACACTCACGCGTTCCCACCGCCACCTCCACAGCCACCGCCACCTGCCATGGGCACAGCGTGGGACTGGAGCAGCATGGGGGTGGCTCCACAGGGTGCTAACCTGCCTGCCATTTGCACATGGCAGGCAATAGGATCCAGACCTGCTGGTACCCATCTTCACCGCTCTCGTGCTTGTGGCGTATGCTGTGACGGCGCATGCTGTGACGGCGCATGGTGCCATTGGAAGAGGTGGGGTTAAGGGGAAAGAAACAACGAGGGGAAAGAGAAAACGAGGGGAAAGAGAAAACGAGGGGAAAGAGAAAACGAGGGGAAAGAGAAAACGAGGGGAAAGAGAAAACGAGGGGAAAGAGAAAACGAGGGGAAAGAGAAAATGAGGGGAAAGAGAGAACGAGGGGAAAGAGAGAACGAGGGGAAAGAGAAAACGAGGGGAAAGAGAAAACGAGGGGAAAGAGAAAACGAGGGGAAAGAGAAAACGAGGGGAAAGAGAAAAGGAGGGGAAAGAGAAAACGAGGGGAAAGAGAAAACGAGGGGAAAGAGAAAACGAGGGGAAAGAGAAAACGAGGGGAAAGAGAAAACGAGGGGAAAGAGAAAACGAGGGGAAAGAGAAAACGAGGGGAAAGAGAAAACGAGGGGAAAGAGAAAACGAGGGGAAAGAGAAAACGAGGGGAAAGAGAAAACGAGGGGAAAGAGAAAAGGAGGGGAAAGAGAGACACGCAGACGCCAACCAGCCCAGAACAGAAAGAGGAGACCACCACACTTGTTTGCTAGCATCCCTACATACCCATTCCCCACCACACTTGTTTGCTAGCATCCCTACATACCCATTCCCCACCACACTTGTTTGCTAGCATCCCTACATACCCATTCCCCACCACACTTGTTTGCTAGCATCCCTACATACCCATTCCCCACCACACTTGTTTGCTAGCATCCCTACATACCCATTCCCCACCACACTTGTTTGCTAGCATCCCTACATACCCATTCCCCACCACACTTGTTTGCTAGCATCCCTACATACCCATTCCCCACCACACTTGTTTGCTAGCATCCCTACATACCCATTCCCCACCACACTTGTTTGCTAGCATCCCTACATACCCATTCCCCACCACACTTGTTTGCTAGCATCCCTACATACCCATTCCCCACCACACTTGTTTGCTAGCATCCCTACATACCCATTCCCCACCACACTTGTTTGCTAGCATCCCTACATACCCATTCCCCACCACACTTGTTTGCTAGCATCCCTACATACCCATTCCCCACCACACTTGTTTGCTAGCATCCCTACATACCCATTCCCCACCACACTCCTGCAATGCAAACCACCCTATCCGTCTCAGCCCCCTCTGCGGCTCCGCCCTCCACCCTCATCCACCCAGAGGCGTCTCCCATTCCCACCCCCCCACCCCCCCCTCCCTCCCCACCTGCTCGCCTGTGGCGGCCAGCTCAGCCGTCTGTGGGGCGCGGTCGATGAGTGACTGGATGGCCACCCGCGCCTGAGAGGGGCACGTATGGGCAGCGGAGGGATTGTTGGCATGCGGTCGATGCGTCATTGGGGGGCATGGGGCGAGAGGGGACATGCGCGAGGGAGGAAAGGAAAGGGGAGTGCGGATAGAAGGGGGAGGGAGCGAGCAAGTGGGAAATGGGAAGGATGCAAAGGGAGGGGAAGGGGAAGTTTGGCATGTATCGGTGCAGCCCAGCTGATGCGTGCAGCCCACCTTATGGGTGGAGCGCGCTTCAAGGAAGTGGGCGAGGGAAAAGAGGAAGACCACAGACGCGCCCTCCACATACTCCCCAATGGCTATTGCGCCGCCCACTGGGAGCCCATGAGAGGCCGGTGGGGGACGGGGAGAGATGAGGCAGGATAAGCGGGAGCGACATGGCATGTGTGCGCTCTCACACAAGGGACTCGAACGCACACACACTTCTATGCATGGACATGCTTCAGAAGGGACGCTAAGCAGAGACGGAAGGACTCACTTATAGGCATGGACACTCGCTAGGCAGGAACACTTGCAGGGAAAGGATGCGCCACACACACAGAGGCGCCTCTCAAATCCCCCGTGCCTCCTCTGACCCCTGTGAGCCTCCAAGCCAGGAATACAAGCACAGCCTGATGGCTGTTTGTTACCAGAGCTCACCTGCAATGACCATGAGTGTGTTTATATCGAGTATGAACCTCCTCAGCGCAGCGAGGCTGCTGAGCAGAATGGGTGGCAGGCCGGCGGCGATGGAGGCGAGGGCGACAAACTGGAGGGGGGGGAGGAGGTAGTGGAAGAGGGAGACGAGCAGCAGCGCGCCCGACAGCAGCGTGGAGGGCGACGGCAGCGACGACGCCATGCGCACTCGCCCCCTCTGCTGCTCGCTGGCATTCAGATGCGCATCGTTCAGCGCCGCCACTGGTGGGACGCCAGGAGAGGAGGAAACGAGGGGAGGCGGGGGAGGGAGTGGGAGGAGAGGAGAGGAGGGGTTGGGGCTGCGTGCTTGAGAGGGAAGTCGCAACCGCAGGAGAGGACGTGTGGGGGATGCAATGCATGGTTGCCTCACCTCACCGTTGGTCTCGACCAACACGACTTCCACTCACCCTCGGCACTCACCGCACCCATGCAGCATGCACTCACCGCACCCATGCAGCACGCACTCACCGATGTCAGCAGTGGAGGTGATGGAGGCGTCATGGCGCACGAGGGCCGTCCTGGTGGGCGTGGAGACGGCGACGTGCAGCACGCCGGGCAGCGCCTCCACCACTCGCTGCACCACCGCCACCTCCGCTTCGCAGCACAGCCCCAACACGTCCACCCGTGACGTCACCACTGCCCCACCAGCACCAGGAATGGCAGCAGCGGGGGCGGAAGCATTGCTGTGCGGCTGGGGACCTTGGAAGGCCTTGGTTGCTGCGCTGGCCACGGCAGTGATTGCTCGCTTGCACGCGGTGGTTGACCACCAGACGAATGGAGACGGCTTTCTGGCCATCCACTCGCCCACTACCTCTGTCTCCTCTCCAGCCCCCTCCCTGTCGCCCCCACCCACCAGCACCACCATCTCGCCTGCACTCCCAGTGCCCTCTGCATGAGTGCAGCAGCCCTGCCCGCTACACCACATCGCCCCTCCCACTGCTGCCTCGCTGGTTTCAACGCCATCAGCGCTGCCAGCATCATGGCTGGTGATGCAAGCGTGAGTGTGACTGTGCCTGCTGTGATGGCCGCTGCTGCAGCAGCCATGATCGTCTTTCTCATGAAGCGTACAGCCTGTGGACTGTTCACTGCCACGGGGCTGCTCTTCACGTGCCATCACTGCCATCGGCGTATGACAGCCAATCAGAGAAGCTGCTTTTGCCTGCACCCTTTCACTCTTCACCACCTGTGCCACGTCAGCGTCAAGCAGACTCGCTGCAGCTGCAGCAGAGCCGGCAGGTGGAGGTGCAGATGCACCTTCCCCACACGGACCTGCCTGCTCCTCCGCTCCACCATCACGCCGCTTCATCCCCATCTGTACTGCTCTTTCGTTGCCCTCCATATAATCACATTCATCACGGGACGGCAACCGAGTGTAGGAGCAGATGGCATCAGAGCAGCATCCCGCTGCCGCACTGCCACAGGTGCGAGCACATGTGGGTGTGAGGGTGGGGGAGGGAGCATGGCGCACGTAGTCAAACACCTCCACACGCTGCTTGCCCACGCGCCGCCTCAGCAGCCCCGTGGCAGCGCCGATCCTCACCAGCCGCCCGTGCTCGTGCACGTGGTAACCGCATGTGCTTGCCGCCGCGTCATGCCTGTGCGCCTCAGCGGGGTGAGTGTGCGGGGCAGTGGTGCTGGCAGAGTGCGCAACATGCGCGGTGCTGCCGTGGCTGGCAGCACTGCACCTGCTTCCACAGGCCGGCGAGGAGGCGCAAGGCGGTGGGGATCCACGGGAATGGGGCTGCACGGGATGGCTCACGGATGGCCCTGCTGCCATGCCATGGCCATGTGCGCTTGCTGCCGCATGGGGAGGAGAGTCCGAACTAGGATGGGCATGCGCATGGGTATGAGCGTGGGCATGGGAGTGAGCATGGGTGGCGAGGGGAGCAGGATCGCCAGAATGGCCATCATGTGCTTCCTCGTGCACATGGCGCGCATCACCATGCCCGTGCGCATCACCATGCCCGTGCGCATCACCATGCCCGTGCGCATCACCATGCCCGTGCGCATCACCATGCCCGTGCGCATCACCATGCCCGTGCTGACCACGCATTGCATGCACATGGCGGAGTGAGTGATGCGCGTGGTGCGCATGGGGGGGTGAGTGATGCGCGTGGTGCGCATGGGGCAGGTGATGAGCGTGGTGCAGCAGGAAGGAGCCATCGAGGAGCGGCATGAGGTAGTCCACGTGGTCGCCATGCGCTATGCGACCATGCCCACACCCCTCCGCATGCACGTGCCACCCCCCCTCGCCCTGCTCCTCTGCGCCGCCATGCCCCTCCGTCACTGCCCCCCTCACCCCCTCCCCCTCTCTCCTCACCGCGTCATTCCCCCGCTCCCCGCCAAATGCGGTGGAAAGAGAGGGGAGGCGCGGCGAGGGGGCGGGGGAGGGGCGCAGGCAGGGCGACAGCACACCTTCGTGCAGGCACTGTGGAGTGTGACAATAACGGGGGAAGGCGAAGGGACGGGCATTGTGGTTGACTAGGCTAGCAGAAACTTGGCATTGAATAGCAAGCGCAAGGGGGAATGGGAAACACGACGGGGGGATGGGAAGGGCAAGCGGGGAATGGCAAGCGCAGGGGGGGAATGGCAAGCGCAGGGGGGGAATGGCAAGCGCAGGGGGGGAATGGCAAGCGCAGGGGGGGAATGGCAAGCGCAGGGGGGGAATGGCAAGCGCAGGGGGGGAATGACAAGCGCAAGGTGGGAATGGCAAGCGCAAGGTGGGAATGGGAAGGGCAAGGGCGACGGCGAGGCAAGGCAGCAGCGACGTCATTCCCTCACGGGTGGGCTGGACCGCGCACCGGTTCGAGCAGCACGCACCGGTTCGAGCAGCACGTCTTCGGTGCTCGCGTCGCCATGATGCACGTGTGCGTGCACGTGCATCCCCTCCCGCTCGCAGCACGCATCCCCCGCTTCTTCCTCTGCCTCCTCCGCCTCCTGCCTTGCGCCAAGGCCTATCCCCGTGGACTCACGCAAGGTTTCGCTTCCCGACCTTTCGGGAGAGATATCGGGGGAACCGCTGTCAACGGGCGGTGCGAGCAGTTGCGCGCGCTGCTCGGCGTGCTGATGGTGGTCCGAGCGGTCAGCGGCGGCGGTACCTCTGGCGCTGTGGTCTTGGAAGCAGAGGCGCAGCGAGAGCGAGAGCGGCGCGCTGACGCACGTGAAGCGCGAGCCCTCCAAGACGAGCAGGTGGTGCGCCTCGCGCGGCGGCGGCACGGCACGCGGCGAGGTCCGGGGATGGGAGAGTGGGGCGGAGGCGGGGTCGGGAAGATGCGCGGCGGGATCGCTGTGGGCGACGACGGCGTCGAATAGGTGCGACGACATGCTGGGAAGTGCTCACAGGGAACGAGATATGGAGAGTTCTTCAACTAAAATCGCGATACCTGTCGGTCCTTAAAGCCGCAGTTTGGAACGCCAAGACTTTTGAAGTTGAACCTAGTTGGCTTATGAGTGAATAATGGGCTCGGGCTACGTGAAATGCTAAGAGCTCTCAAGGCAGTCATTCTAGCGGACATCACGAAGTCCCTGAGATGGGCGCTCGGTCGGTGACCAGGTGACCAGCATAACAGTGGGTCTTCCAAGGCAGCCATTGTAGACGCATTGCAGCCGACATTCACGGATTCAGAGGTAGGTAGGTTGGTTGGGGCAGTAGTCTCGATTGGCGGGCGAAACAGGTTGGTTTTGTAATCGATAGACGTTGGTTTTGCATTCCGCGATATATGTTTGATAGGCTGTAGTGAGTTGCATCCTAGGGGGTACAAAAACTACTCGCGACACCTTTCTTGTACCCCTCCCCTTTACCCTTATCCATTATTCTCCTAAGTCGCATACCTATGTTTCATAGCTGGCTGAGGTGAAATCAGAACTGCAAAAGAGACATACGTGCACTGACCTTGGTGAGCTCTGCCACTACATTGGCCTGCAGATCACCAGAGACAGAACCGCTCGCACCATCGCTCTGACTCAGTCACACATGGTGGAGCAGGTCATTCGGCGATTCGAGTTTCAGTTTTCTATGACACAGCCCACTCGTCTTGCCGTTGGCCACAGACTCACGGGCCCTTTTCCTGACGAACCCTTTGAGTCTAGTGGTCCTTACTGTCAAATGTTGTAGTCTTAGTGGTGTGTGTTATAGGGGGTACAACTGTTAGGGTTAGATTTATGTACCCCAACCAACCTTAGTCAAACCAACACTTTGATTCTTGACATGGCATCACCTAGGTTGAGATCCTGTGGGATCCCGCTAGAGCTTCTCGCGCCCGTTGGACGTAGTATACCGTTCCCGTTGAGCCTGCTTCGTCCCGTAGCGCCTCTTGTGGCCGTTCGTTCCATCCTATAGCGCCCTAAGCGCTTGCCCGTTCCGTCATGAAGCGCCCGTAGCGCCTGTAGCGCTCTTAGCGCTTGCCCGTTCCGTCGCGAAGCGCCCGTAGCGCCCTTAGCACCTGCCCGTTCCGTCACGAAGCGCCCGTAGCGCTCGTAGTGTCCGTCGCACGCGCCTCCCTGCCCCCTGCCCGTCGCGTCCCCTGCCCGTCGCGTCCTTTGCCCGTCCCGTCACCTGCCCGTCGCGTCCCCTGCCCGTCCCGTCCCATGCACGTCGCGTCCCCTGCCCGTCGCGTCGCGCTGCCCCTACCGTCCCCTGCGTGTCGTGCTGCCCGTCCCATCCCGTCCCCTGCGCGTCGTGCTGCCCGTCCGTCCCGTCCCCTGCGTGTCGCGCTGCCCGTCCATCCCGTCCCCTGCGCGTCGCGCTGCCCGTCTGTCCCATCCCCTGCGTGCCGCGCTGCCTGTCCGTCCCGTCCCCTGCGCATCGCGATGCCCGTCCCTTCCCGTCCCCTGCGCGTCGCGCTACTCGTCCGTCCCGTCCCCTGCGCGTCGTGCTGCCCGTCCGTCCCGTCCCATGCGCGTCGGCGCTGCCCGTCCCATCGCGTTTTGTCCCCTGCCCGTCGCGTCTCGTCCCCACCCTCCCGTCGAGTCGCCCCCAGCCCGTCGCGTCGCGCCTTGCTGTCCTGTCGAGTCGCGTCCTACCCGCCCCGTCGCGTCGTGCCCTGTTGTCCCGTTGCGTCGCGCCTTCTGCTCAACCCTGAAGCGCCCTGCTCGGACCCTCTAGGCGTTTAGGGTTTTGGCAGCAGTAGTATCCACCTCTACGCTTCTGCTATGGCGACCCCTAGGGTCCTGCGCTTTAGCACTGAGGGTAGGCCACTCGAGTTCTCGGTCTGGCTCCTGCATGCGCGCCGCCTCCTAGAGAGCTAGGTTCAGGCATACGAGACTCTTTGGGTGCACGTGAGAAGAAGTGAACGAGAATGAATGAACTATGAACGAAGTGAGTACAAATAGGAAACCCTAATTGGGTTGTACCCCCTATGGGATACCCTACTATAGCCTACACAAATAAGTAAGCTATAATGTTCTGACAGACCCCCATAGGCAAAGTGGGGGAGAACAAGGGGTCACAAGACCAGTCAAGCAAAGCAAAACAAAGCTCAGGGTGGATCACAAAGTCACCACACATTCCGAGCACAAGTTCAAAGGCCAGAAGGCCAGTTCACATGCAAGATCATATATAGAGATATACAAGAGTCAAGAGTATATATAGGTAAAGGTACAAGCAAGGTCAAGAAGTGAGCAAGTGAGGCAAGACAGGCACAAGACCCAGCTGTGTGCAGCAACGTTGATGATCACAAGGCGCAAGTGCCTTGGTGAAGACATCAGCAGTGTTGGCCTCAGAGGCCACGTACGCAAGTCGCAACTGGCCACGCTGCTGTAGCTCACGAGCAAGAAAGTAGCGGAGAGCAATGTGCTTTGTCCTGTGCTCCAGTCGCTGCTCTCGACACAAGGCCAGCATGGCCTTGTTGTCTACGTACAGGACTGGAGGAGAACGAGGCGGCTCTCCAAGGTCGGTCAGCAGGTAGGTAAGCCAGCGAAGCTCCTGAGCAGCCATAGCCCCGGCGTAGATCTCAGCCTCACAACTGGAGCCGAGAACAGAAGACGAGCGAGTAGCCCGCCACGAAACAGAGCCGGAACCAAGGCCGAAGGTGTAACCCTGTGACGACCGCTGCGTAGCCTGGTCGTCAGCCCAAGAAGCGTCCGCGTGCCCAGTGAGGACCACTGGACTGCGCCCTCCAAGCACTAGCCCCATGCCCGACGTACTGCACAAGTAGCGCAACACCCTCTTCGCTGCAGCCATGTGCTCTGGTCGGTGTCTCCCAGGAGCAACATAGCGTGCGAGAATGCTCAGAGGGTATGCAAGGTCAGGTCGTGTGCAGGTCATCAGGTACATGAGGCAGCCAACAAGCTCTGCATACGGGCCACTCGACTCTACGGACTCATCCGAAGGCAGAGCTGAGAGCGAGTGGCGAGTAGGCAGAGGAGTGGCCTGAGGCGAGGAGTACGTGAAGCCGAAGCGCTGAAGGACCTGCTGTACCATGTGTGACTGAGTCAGGGTAATGGTGCGGCGTGCTCTGTCCCGGGTGATCTGCAAGCCAAGGTAGCTGCGCAGTTCACACAGGTCAGTGCACGTGTGTCTCTTCTGCAGCTCGGACTTCACGTAGGCGAGTCCAGCAGTGTCAGCTGTGGCAAAGACCAAGTCGTCGACGTACACGAGGATGTAGAACGGCGGCAGAGAGGTGTCGGTGCGCAGAAACAGCGACGGGTCGGCAGTAGAACGAGCAAACCCAAGTGCCGCAAGTGTAGTCCTCAGTGTGTCGTGCCACTCACGTGGCGCCTGGCGGAGACCGTAGACTGGCCGCCGGAGACTCCACTGGGTACCAGGAGGGAAAGACCTAGTGAAGCCAGGTGGGCGGCGCAGCCAGATCTCCTCGTGCAGGCTGCCCTGCAAGAAAGCTGTGCTGAATTCGAGAGAGTGCAGCTCGTAGTCACGGTGAGCAGCAACGTGCAGCAGTACCCGAAGAGTGGTCATCTTCGGGGTGGGGGAGAAGGTCTGAAAGTAGTAAACTCCCTGCCGCTGACTGAAGCCACGAGCCACGTAACGCGCCTTGAAGACAGGCGGAGAACCCGGCGGCCGCTTCACCCTGAAGATCCACATGCCACTGACGATGTTCGCCCCAGGAGGGGGAACAGCGTCAACGTAGGTGCCTGTGGACTTCCAGGAAGCCATCTCTGCATCCATAGCTGCCTGCCACTGAGAGGAGTAGGGACCCTCTATCGCCTCCGCGTAAGAGCGCGGAGTCGGGATGTCAAGTGCATCCGGGTCTCCCTCAGGGGCGAGCAGTACAGACGCGAGATGAGGTGAAGCGGCGACCAGACACTGGAACTCCTCCTGCCTGTCCTCAAGGACGTCCGTGCCTAGGGCACACTCACCCCCGACGGACGGAGGACAGGCAGACTCAGACTCAGCGACAAGACTAGCAGCGTAGTCTAGAGGACAGCGTGCAGCAAAGTCGACAAGCTCAGTGACAAGGGCAGATGCAGCAGAAGACTCGAAGGAAGGGTCAATGACAGCAGTAGCAAGGAGACGCGTGACAGTGGGACTGGCAGCACGAAGAGAGTCCGACTCCGGGTCGGCAAGAGCAGGAAGAGAGGAAGCAGGAGGAGAAGGCAAAGGGGCACGCAGAGGAGCAGTGGACGGACGCAGTGACATCCGGTGCGTGCCAGGGACAGGAGGAGGACGCTGACGCGAACCGCGACTACTAGTGCGCGCAGCACGAATAGGCGACGCAGGACGAGACGCAGGCTCACGATGCTCAGTAAGACCTCCTGTCGGACCAGCGTAGGGAGAAGGAGCAGGCAAAGGGGAGGCAGGCTGTAGCTGTGACTGGGACTGGACAGGCTGTGGACCCTCTAAGGGAGGAGGAGGAGGACCAGGAGAAGGTGTAAGACCAAGAACCTGCTGCAGGAGCGGAACGAAGTACGGTCAGGGCCGCGTGGCGACGCGAGAAACAGCAGGGACAGCACCAGGACCCCAAGCAGGAGTACCCGCTCCAGCAGCACCTCCAGCAACACCTCCAACAGCACCTCCAGCAGCACCAGAACCCCCAGCAGCACCAGGAGCACCGCCAGTCAGACCGCCAGCAGTAGTCTCAGCGCGAACACCCTCAGCAGCACCAGCTCCAGTCGAACCCGCAGGCCCAGCAACTCCAGTACTCCCAGGACGAGCACCTCCGGGACCCTCGGCAGCAGCACCCTCAGTAGTCGAAGAACCTCCAGCACCTGCAGCACGCCTCCAGCGACGGGCAAACCACTTACGCAGCTTCTGCGGGGAGAGTGGCTCTCGGCGAGACGAAGCACCTCCAGGCGGAGAACCTCCAGGCTCAGCACCCTCAGGTAGAGCACCCCCAGGCTCAGCACCCCCAGGCTCAGCACCCCCAGAC